CTTAAAATCCAAAAAAATCATGGAATCATCTAAAATCACAAGCAATTCTTTAATTAGAATGTTTTCTAAGTAAAAAACAAATTTAAGAATCCGTAAAAGTTGAAACTTTAATAGGTATTGAAAAACAAGAAAAAGATTTAAAACTCATAAATTTGACTTGGTTAAACCTAAGCATCTTTATGAAAATGCCAATTCCTTGTTAGTGTTGGATCAATTTTTTAGCATTATTGAGAAGCTTAAATATCCTGTGTCAAAGACAGTGATAGTGTCACCCTAAGATTGTTAAGTGAAAATGGATTTTTAAATCTCGAAAAGATGAAATATTCATTAGTCCACATAGGGTTAATCACTATAGGAGTCAAAGCACTTCATAGAAAGGGTGCAAGTACAAATCGCCTTTTAACTCTTAGACACAAGACATCAAGATATGGTCTAAGCCCTTATAGGATTTATCAAAATAGACCTATCAGAATAAGGGGGATTTGCTTTTTTTACTCCCAATTTTCAAGTGGACATAAAAGCCTTCAAGCAATTTATTAAAGTAAGAATCATGACTAAAGGCTATTCTATGGCCGAGGGAGAAAAGAATCTTTTAGCATAGGAATTGCTAACCAAATTACTCATAATGGCACTACCAATTATAAAGTAACTAGTGAAGAAATATGTGAAATATATGGGACAAAGGGAATTAAGGCCATTTAAGCCAAACATTTGGTTTCAACCTATCTAAATGGAACTAAATGGAACATCACCAAATTCCTAAGTAGACCCAAATAGTTGAAGATTTTTTAGTTTTTTTTAACCTAAATTTGCTAAGTTGGCTTTGGAATTTGTAGTTGACTTAAAAGAAAAGTAGAATGTTCTGCTTGTTCAAGATAGCTAGCTCTAATGATGATAGCCGACTATAAAAGTGTAACCAACTTAACAATCAAATTCTATAGCATATTTTCTTAGACCTCAACTTATCTATAATGCATTAAATGGACTCCAATGACTATAAATGACCAGTTTCAACCTTAGCTCTATAAATATGATTCATAAATATCTTGGAGAGCCTCTAGACACATATTAGAAGATAAAAAACAAGAGTTGAGCTTAGATTTGCAAATCCTTTCAAGAGTTTGAGCTTACATTTGCAAATTAGATATTTGAGAGATCATATCCTTTGTAACCTTTCTTTGTAATCTTAGGAGTGAGTGAAGCTCAAAGAAAAGATACTTACAAGTGAGTGAACCTTTCAAGAGAGAAACCAAGTGAGGTTTATTGGGGATCTTTGTAAATGGGGAGTGTTTAAGTGAAAAAAACTTTGTAAAAGGATTGGGTAGCTCCTTAAGCTACTCTTGAGTACTAGTGGAGAGCGTGGAGGAAATCCTTGGTGAGTGAAAGAATTAGGTGCCAAGTGGTTGGGCCAAACTTCTATAAAATTAATTGTTCAGGCTTTTCTTTCCTTCTTTCTTTGTTTTTCATTTAGTGGTGGCAAAAAGAAGAAAAATTTGAAGACTCCAATTTACTCCCCATTTTGGATTATCTGAGTCATAATCCAAGAAAAATAAATGATAAAAATGAAGTAAAAGTAAGTCAAAAGTAATAAGAGAATAATACTAAAAAGTTGCATCTTTTATGTTTTGAAATGGAACTTTTCTAAAATAAAACATATTGAAATAGAGAAAAAGAGTAACAAATTAAGATATACAATGATAGATTGAGATACAATGAATGTCTACGAAACTAGAATAATAGAGATGGGACTTGACAAATGGAATCTCAACAAAAATTGATGAGATAAGGACTAAAGATAAGTAAAAATAAAGTACAAAGAGAACCAACAACTTGTTAATTTGAGTGGAAAGTGCTCAATTCTCCTTAAGCAATATTTCAAGTTCAAGTCTTGTGAATGAAAAAATAAACACTGGGAAAGTTTTTCTTCTTATGAGGTTAACTTAGCTCAACTTTGAATTAATTGGAGTTTAATATAGCTTTTGGATATCAATGGATTAGTATAAAAAAAATAAAGTATAAAGAGAAAAATGTTAATAAAATTTTTTTTCTAATAAGTAGAATAATGCAAATAATTTTTATGTTTTTACTTGAAAACATTTCTAATATATAAAGGAAAACAAAGATATATTGGATTAAAAAAGATATATATACAAGGAAAGATTAAAAAAGAACAATAAGGATGGTAGGATAGAGAATAGAGAATAATAGAAAAAATAAATTACCAATTTAGAGAGTAATATACGAGGAGATAGTCAAAGATAATAGGACAAAGTAAAGGTGAAATGGACATGAAAAAGTAATTAAAGTGTAAAATAATCTGAAAAATATCAATTGATTAAGAAAGGTACACGGAGAGAGATACATGCATCAAGTTAAGTCTAGATTAAAATGCATTGATGCTAAAAAAAAAAGAAGATAATTGAAGGTACTTAATTGAAAGATTTGGACAGAGATACAGTTTTAATGTAAAAAATTAAGAAAAATATAGTATATGAATAAGGCTAAAGCCTTTATTTGCCTCTATACATTTTTTTCTTTCTACAATTAATACTTTAAACTAATTTTCATTTTTCCGTAATTCATAACCCATTAAAAATCCAAAATTGTAATGGGAGATCACGCCTAGTCACGTGCAATGTGGAAGGTTTTTTGAATGACATGGCTGTATTTTTGCATATATGGATGCCACGTCAGTATGGAGACCCAATTATTAAAAAAAAAAAAAGAAAAACAAATTGCATTTTAAGATTTGCACAGACTACCAGCATAAAATACAAATCCTTAAAATAATAATAATAATAATAATAAAATAGAAATCATAACCCACGAAAAATCATCTGCGCACAAATCACCATTAATCCACATATTCAATCCCGTAAACAAAACAATTAAAACACCAATGTAGAGAAATAACTAGAATTAAGGGGGATGCGAAGCGGCTTTTAACTGTTTGGGCCTTTTATCCTTCGGGACCTTAGGTTGTTCCTTCTTTTTCACAGGCAACTTGGTCGGCTTTTAACCATATGCTTATGCTTGTCTCATAAATGCCATTGAACCATTTATTGGGCGTTGAAAAAATAGGTTTGAGATATTGTCCTGTATACGAAATTATTTATTTACAACTTATTCATCTACAACATGAAAGAAGATAATAGTTATAACTATTGTACTTCATAATTATATTAGGTAATATGTAATAAATGATAAAAATTTTGATAGGTGTAATAAAAAACTAAATTATATGCCTGAAATGGCTGGGAAAAGTGTCACGCCCCAAATCCCGGAGCGAGACAGACGCCGTGCACTCCTGAGCGGGGCTCACAAATGCACAAGGCTCAAAATCTACTGAGTTCTTACTTAACAATTCAGACAATTCAGATCTAAACCTTTTTACTTACCAAATATTTACCCGTCAAGATGTACAAATTTATCACTTCATAACATCGATTATAACTAAAACTAAGGAAGTTCTGTACACAAAAATTTCTAAGTCAAGCATGGTGACTAACGGCCTAGCTACAAAAATCTAAGTTTAAAAGTGCCTAGCCGTCTAGCTCGTCACTCCCTCGGGCTCTCCATGCGTCGAGTCTCACTACCTGAAATGGTGGACAAGAAAAAATTATGAGATAAACTCAGTAAGTAGAATATGGAGTGCCCTTAATTAAACTTATAGCATGCCAACAGTATAATAAAAACGGATACAGTACGGGAAAGAAATAGACGTCTCCTCTATAGGTCATGGCCAGTGTTTAAACCTCCCACTAGCAGGCTACAGTATTTGCTGGTGTTTAACCCCCACTAGCAGGGTCATTCGGACGAACCGGTTCTATCAATAACATGTCGACATGTGCTAGCGTTTAACCCCTACTAGCAGGATCATCAATAACATAACCACATCGAAGACAAAACAGGCAGAAGTTAACAAGAAATCATTCCTTAGAAACAGCTTTCAAATCATCAGGACAATCAAATGAACTTCAAGTAGGCATGCTCAAATCCATAAATATCATAAAAATTTTCAGTTCAAATCAATCATACTTATTTTGTATAAAATGGGTTTAGTCCCGCCACTACTTCAAAAACAAATCAAATTAAAATATGCTTTAAAATCGAAAGGCGTTACCATAATTTACTTACCTTAATTGCACAGGACAAAAGGCTTAATCCAAGTGCTAGGATCACAGGGCAATCAAGGATCTAATCACAATATTTCCAAATTAATATCTATAATGAAATTTTATTTTATTTTATTTTTATTTTTCTATCTGAAAATTGGGCATTCACCGGGATTGGGTATCTATATATATACACATACAATTATATAATTTCACATATACCATTTTTCAAGCTCATGGGTAGGAATTGGGAGAACCGACCTTAACAAAAAAAAAAGATTTAATACCCTTTTTGGTCCCTCTACTATAAGAAAAAACTCCTTTTTAGTCCTTGTACCGAAAAAATTTTCTTTTTGGTCATTACTGTTCACAAATCCGACCTCTTTTTAGTCATTCCGTTAAATTTTGACTGATATGACAGGTTAATTAATGAAAACACTCATTCTTTTTTTTTTACTAAATTACGTGAAAAATCCACATAGTAAAATTGATGACATATTAAATTTTTTACCTTTAATTACTTATATACCCTCATCTTCTTCCCCGGCTTCTCCTTCCTCCAGCCTTTTTTTTTTTTTTCTTTTTCTTCTTTTACTTACAGGCAAACCCAAGAGCCTGGGTTCGCGATGAACCCAGGTCTTGGGTTCGCGATATCCGTGAAATGAAAAAACCTCACCCGAAGTATATTTATTATATAACAAAAAAAGTATAGACAAGTACTAGTAGCTCCAGTGGCTACTTAATATACTATAAAAAATAATTTTATTTTATAGTGTTGAATCTCACTCCTCCTATTTATAATTTCTTTTCCGTAATTCTTTATGTTAAAAAATATATATGTAATAAAAAATATATATATATATAAAATTAAATGAAGTTAAATATGAAGACAATCTGCAGTGAATCCAGGCTGCACATCCCGGGAAAAAAAATAAAATCCAAACTGCACATCAGGGCAAAAACAAAAGAATAAACAAGACTGCACAACATTATCTCTTCATTCAGCTTTCTGATGACCATGGTTCTTATGTATCTTTGCCAATGACCATGGTCTGCATCGTGGCGCACTATTCTTATGCCTGAGAAGAACCAACTGCCCTTTTCACTCCCACCACCTGCAACTCTTTTCTTCTCTCACCAAACGCCCTCCCCCAAAAAACTGCAGATTTCACATTTTGCCACAGCCAGGTTTTTCTCTAATCTCCGCATCTCCTCGAGCAGAAAACTGGCTTTGACTCTTCGTGTTTGAATTCTGTGTTCTCAATTTGATGGTTCAGCTGCCGAAGGATATCTACGGCAATTGACAAACCTTTCTTTGTCATGGAATATGATTGTGGATGAGTGGGACGAGGATGAAAAGGAGAGCAACATCAATCTATTGATCAGATTCTTGCAGAGCATGTTCAAGAAGGTATCCAAGTGCGTAAAGAAGACCTCTCGCCGCATATTGCCGGCAGCCATCGCCCCAGCCGGGTATCAGATACTTTCTTTTTAACCTGGTAAATGATCTTACAGCTTCTGCCTGGGGATGGTAACAATTTGAATGTATTTTCCATGGTCCAGTCTGCAAGATTTTAAAAAGAAAGTATATCATTAGTTATTACCAGGTTAAAATTTTAAAAATATGATCATAAAATCTTGTTAAAAGTAAAGTTTATGATAGGTATCATTTCGCTAGGAAAGCCCCAGAGATTTCACAGACGTTGCGAACCCAAGATCTGGGTTCGTCGCGAACCCGCAAGCTGGGTTCCTCGCGAACCTAGACTCTTGGGTTCGCCTGGAGGTAAAAGAACAAAAAGAAAAAAAAAAGAAAAGGCCGGAGGAAGGAGAAGCCGGGGAAGAAGATGAGGGTATATTAATAATTAAAAGTAAAAAAATTAACATATCATCGATTTTTGCTAAGTGAATTTTTCCCCGTAATTTAATAAAACAAAAAGAATGAGTGTTTTTGTTAATTAACCTACCACATAAGTTAAAATTTAACGAAAAGATTAAAAAGGAATTGGATTTGTAACAGTAAGGATCAAAAGGAAATTTTTTCGGTATAAGGACTAAAAAAGGACTTTTTCCTATAGTATAGGGACCAAAAAGGTATTTAACCAAAAAAAAAGGGCCAAGTCCCGGAATTTTCCTCCTTTTTCTTTCATACAACATCACAGCAGCCAAATTAGAGGATTTCCTACATAGTTAAACTTAAAACCCATTGCAAGGCTACCGGAATTCATTCCCCTCTTCCCAGTAGATTTTTCGGGCAACCCAAGCCAATTCACACAACCAATTAACCCACAAGGCAGCAATTAATCACCCAATTTTTGGAGATTAGAGAAGCTAACTTACCAAAAACCTCAACAAGCAAAGGTGGAGCCAGCGGTTATGGGAGGAACCGGTGGAAAATTGCAGGGGAGTCACGGAATGGCTAGAAATTGGAAGAACAACAAGATTAGAGTGAACCCAACACAATCAAGTGAGAAAAGATGAATTCATGGTTGATTCATACCAAAAAAAAACCGAAATCTCACACCCGCACCAGTTGAAACCGGCGGCAGGGGAGGAAGACGTAGGGCAGATCTGGAATTTCTGGGTTGAGGGAGAGAGTTCTAGGCTTGAGACTTGGTTCTTGAGCAAGAAAGGAGGGAAATTTCAAGAGGCCTGCACCGGGTTTTTCAAGGGGAGAAAGTCGGTGGCTTGGGGGCTTTTCGGGAGGAAGGATCGGGAAGAAGACAGAGCAGACCCGCGTGAAAATGAGGAAGAAAAGAAAAATATCTAAGCTTGATCCTTATCCAAATTGGTTTTCCTTTTAGCCCCTTGACTTTTGAAAATTTGATGATTAAGTTTAAAAACATTATTTTCTCACAATTAGGTCCCTAGCTTACACTTAATTGTTCTTGAAAATTTTGGGGTATTACAAAAAGAGTATGGATCAAGAAATTTCTCAAAATAATTTTGTTAGTACAATGAAAGATTATAATATGATTTCACTTCGAGATTCCATAACTCTATCCTTAATAACAAATCAATCAAGATAATTGTTTGGCATAAGTTTTAATTTTAATTGTCTTATTTATGTGATTTAAATGCAGTATATTTTATTTTTTAATATTAAAATATAAACATTTATCTAACATTTATATTTTAAAAGATGATTAATTAATTTTTAATCATCAATCTTAAACTAATTATAAAAACAAAGTTATATAAAAATATTAAAAAAATGGAGTGAAAGTGGTGATTAAAGTAAAATTATCTATTTTAATCATTTTAGTATTACATTAGATTAAAAAATCTTTTCTAAAAAATTTTACCCAACAAAGCAAGTCTTTTTGTAAAAAAATTTATCAAATACTTTCAACTTTTTTAAAATAACACTTTTACTACAGATTTTCCTCAACAAAACTTCTATCCAAAGCTCTATCCACACCAAATGGACTCTTAATTTCCTCAGTCGCCAATGATTGCTCGGTCGTCGGATCTAAGCACTTCTATATTATATTATAAAGGAGAAACCATGGATGGAAAGTCTTGCCAAGTGTCAAATTATTGTGTAATTTTTAAGTTATGTTCTTTTAACTCGTGGCTCACTTACTTTAATTAGAAAATTTTCTCCTGCTAAATGCAAGTTATTAATAAATTAATTAGTTTAAATTACTAAATTACCCTTTTCTTAATTTTAACCCAAATTCACATATCTTAACCTAAATAAACTATTAATCACTGTTTTTCTCTTATTGCTCTTCGTCTTCCTCTCTCCATTAGTGTCGTTTTCGGCTGCACCATGGATGGAAAAATTGTTGTTATTCCTGTCTCCATTAGCACCGTTTCCTACATTATTTTCCACCCCCTTTCATAAATTCCTTTCTTTCTATTTTTCCTTTCCAGTTTGCCTTTCATTTCCCCTTAGATTTTGCATCCACCTTCTAAATCCTTGATTTCAAACAAACTCCACCCACTTCCGGCTGCACCATTTTTCTCTTATTGCTGTTCTTTTTCCTGTCTCCATTATTTTACACCCACTTTCATAAATTCCTTTCTTTCTTTTTTTCCTTTCCGGTATGCCTTTCATTTCCTCTTAGATTTTACGTCCACCTTCTAAATCCCTAATTTCAAATAAACTCCAATTTAACAAAATTTATAGGTCCTTCTTCTTCCTCTCTCCATTAATTCCATGCTTGCATATGCAGATTTCTCACTTGCAATGGAAACGAACTCCAATTTACCAAAAAATACAAGTGCTTCTTCTTCCTCTCTTTGTTAATTCTATGCTTGCATATATAGAATTCTCATTTGGAATGGAACAAAACTAAGTCACTGACTGTTTATTGGTCTTAATTTCTCATTCCAAATGCCTATGGATTGTTTTTGCACAGGCACAAGACCCATTGATTGCCTTCCATTGATTCCCTACTGTCTCCCCTTTCAGTGGGTTTCGATGGTGCCCATAAGTTACTGGCTGACTGGACAAACCATGTCAGCTAGCAATTATTTTATTTGCCAGCTGTAAGTTCTTGAATTAAAGCTCTATTTTTCCTATTTTTCTTTTTAATTTTTTATTTATTATTTTTCTTGAAAAAACAAAATAAATAATCAATATGCTTCTTACTTCTCAATAGATTGGTATTATTTTTTTTTCCATTTTCAAATACATTAATAGCAAGCCAACCTCTTTTTTCTGATAAGGGCTCTTTTTTCTTATAAGGTTTCAAGTTTCAAAAAGTTAATTAACTGCATTCTAATAGAAAGTAAGCTGTAATGAATAACACTGGTAGATAAAGTGAAAAAAGAAATGGAAGGACGCATTAAGCATATCGACTTTTTGTTTGTTTTTTAACTTTTTAATTTTTAATATTACCAACTCAATAATTTCTTGGGAGTTGAAGAGGCTTTTATATAGCTATATAATGGCTTAATTTCTCCTCTGCATTACAAGCTTTTGTTGAATATTAGTGATTGTTTTCATCATGTCTAGGAGATTTGATAAGATTACTGACATTAATCCATCAAAGGAGCAATGGAGGTTGAAGGTTAAAGTTATTAGACTTTGGAAACAAAGAAATTTCCAGCAGTCACGTTTGGGAGAAAATGTTGAGATGGTTTTTTTGGATGAACATGTAATGGTTTATAATATTTCTTTCTTTTTTTTTCTTTTTTTCTTTTTTGCACTTTTTTTTATTCTTTTGTTCATTTATCTTTTGTTCTTTTTTTTTTTTTTTTATCTCCTGATTTTTATGGTTATTACACATATATAGGGTGGAAGAATTAAGCTACTGTAAGGGCTTCTCTTCGAATCAAAGATTCATTAAAGGAAGGACATGTTTACATTTTTTCTACTTTTGGCATGTCTTTGAATGTTGATCCTTTTAGGCCAACTGTTCATGATTATAAGATTGTTTTTAATCCTAGAACAACGCTATCTTTGGTGCATGATTCCAGCATTTCAAAATATGGGTTCTCGTTTGTGGGTTATGACAAAATTTTGAGTCAAATAAAAGAAAATGCTTTTTTAGTTGGTATGCTTAATTATTCTTACAATTCTTCATTTTCAAAATGTTTATATTTTTAGTTAATATGCTAAAATGTTATATTTTTATGTTATCTAAATTTGTACTTTTATTTCTTTAATTGTTATAGATGCAATTGGTTTGCTCTCAACTATCATTGATAGGAAAGGGATAACTAAGGATGGAACAACACTGAAGATGATTACATTTGAATTGGATGATTTTCGGTGTGTATCCCAAATTAAAATTTTAAGTAATATTTTAATTTTTTTATTTAAGTTTGTTAGACTTATAAACTCTTTGTCATCAGTGGGAAGAAAATCAAGTGTACTTTGTGGGAAGAATTTGCTGAAGAAATGATATCTTCATTGGAAACAAATTCTAATAAACCAATCATCTTTGTGATTCAATTTGCAAAAATGAAGTTTTGGAAAGGTATGCCTTTTGTTTTTATTTTATTTATGTTGTTTTTATAAAATTAATGTTACTTTCTTAAAATAAAATTGTTTTAAGAAACCAGCTGTGAATGACTATCCATGGACTGAAACCAGACAACTTTATTGTAAGTTACTAAATTTATCTACTTTAATTGCTTTTGAAAATGATTCACTGTCTTTTTGTTTTTTTTTTTTTTTTTGCCGAACTCTCCATGTCTTAGAAGAATTCCTCATTATTGTGGTCCATCTTTTGGTTGCTTTTCATACTAATTTCCTTCTTTCAATTGCAGTAGACATGTGTGACTTTTTAACTTTTTATGTTAATGTCCTTTGGATTTCCTTTTTAGCTCTTTAATTTCCTTTTTATGTTACTTTCTTAAAATAAAACAATTTTATTTGGATTTTTTAGGTGAAATGGGATTTTCAAATACAAAGTTCAATTCTAGAATATTTATCAATAATGATGAAATTCTTGAGATCTTGGCTCTCAAAGGGATGTAACCTTAGTTTTTGATACTATTTTTGTTTTTTAGATCTAATTTCTTAAATTATCTTTTGCAATTAATGCTTCTCTTAAACTAGGTAATTAGGATTCCAATGGGTGAAGAGTCGAGTGGTCAAATATTGAGTCATGCATGCTCAACCACTTATTCTTTAGATGAAGAATTCTTAGTGGCTTCTATACGAAAAACTATTATTGAGATTAAAGACTGCCAAGATGTAAGCACTGCCCTTTTAAGGATAAAATTTTGTTATAGTCTATTAATTTGTTATTTTTTGGATGACAATAACTGATATTTTTCTCTGATAATTTAGGTGGTGACTTGTGTGACTCTTGCAGAAATCACACATATTAAATCTACAAGTAATTGGTATTACAAGAGTTGCAACACTTGCACAACTGAAGTTGTGTCTGATTTTGGAATTTGGTATTGCAGAAATTGTGAGAAATGAATGAAGAATCCTCAAACTAGGTTTTGTCTCATTTGTATATCAATTTTTTCATTTTTATTTTCTGCCTTGAAATTGCAAAATACGCTAATTGAGTTAGTTTTGTTGATAAAAATATATTATCTCAATTCTATTTGATGAAAACATATTTGTATATTTCTCCATTAACTTAGATTCTTATATAAGTGAATTTTTCTAAGAAAGTTTTGATATTCTTCACTTATGTGTTTTAATTATTTTTTTTTTTGAATTTTTATAAGTATTGCATTCAAGTTAGAGTAGTTGATGAAAATGATGTAGCTTCCTTAATTCTCTTTGACTCTGCTGCTTTGGGTTGTCTCAAAAAATCAGCTTCTGAATAGCATGATTTGCATTTGAAAAGGGTATTTTGTCATTTATTTTGAACAATTTCCTAATAGTTGCTTCAAATATATGTGAATTTGCTTGTGTAGTTTCTTAAATATGTACAATCTCTTTTTTCAAGGGTGGTGATTAAGAGAAATACCCTGAAGAGTTAGATGTTTTGAAGAATAGGAAAATTATATTTAGAGTCAACATAAAGAAACATAACATCAATTCTTTTGAAGAAACTGCTTACCATGTTGGGAAGGTGTGCTGTGATGGTAACATTATTTTGGCTTTTTTGAATTCCAACAAACCATCAGGGGTATGTTTTAGATTAGAAATTTTATTTTAAAATTTATTCTTTAAATAAAAAAAACTGTTTTCTTAATATATTTTTTATTTTTATCATGAAGGAGTCATCTGAACTTCAAAATTATTCATTTGATGGTGACTTCAATAATACATGAAAAGAAAAGATTGTGATGGTATGCTTCTTAAAATTAAAGTAGATGTATTCTTATTAATAAGTAAGAAAACTTTTCTATCAAATTGTTTAACTTATGTTGATCTTATCACTGTAGGAGGAAAATTCTCACATTGGTGATAATGAGGATCCGCCGAATGATGTCCAATCTTCATTAAAGAGGAGTTTTAATTGTGAGTCTATGGAAGGAGAATTTGATGACCTATTGCAGCATTCTTCAACCAAGATGAAGAAGATTATAAAGATTGAGAAAGACTAATGTTTATGCAGCAGATATCATAAACATATTTTGAATTGTGGGATGAACTTTCTACTGAAGTTGTACTTTTTTATGGGACCTTAATTTGAGGTGTTGTTTGTTTTGTTTAGTTGTTTTGTGTATTGGCTTCCATAAGACATTTTTCTATTATTAATGTTTTGAAAATGGTAATGAAATCTGTGTTAATTTGTGCTTTTTCGGCTTACAGTTTTTGGTTATTTTATCTTTTTAAACTATTTATCACTTATTATTATTAGTTAAAAACTTTGTATTAGGGTTGCAAAGTTTTACAACAAACCTTTACTACTTTGGACAGTGGTTATGACAATCTTAAGTAGCATTTTTAGCTCTTTAATACTTTGAATCTTACTAATTTATCACAATTCCTCAACTACTCTAATGTCACTTGCATGCTGTTCTGCATTTATTGATAGCAATTATGACTATCTTGGGTAGCATTTTTAGCTCTTTAATACTTTGAATATTTCTAATTTATTACAATTCCTCAACTACTCTTATGTCACTTGAATGCTGTTTCTGTATATAGTTGAATGTTTATATTTTTTCTTTAAAAACAATGTTATGTGTAATCACATTTCATGCAATAATTTTTTTTTTCATTCCTATTTGAATTCCATTCATTATCATCATGATGGTAAATGTTTATAATTTATATATGATCAATAAATTGATTTATACTATTGGTATTTCAATATTTAGAAGGTATTTATTGTCTGGGCTAATGGGTTCTTTAAATAATGAATGGCTATTCAGCTCCTGCCTTAATTGCTTTTAGGGCAATTGTAAGTTTACATGTTTATTTTATTTATATATTTTATTTATTTATCTACTAAATCATTTATTGAAATTGAAGTTGTGAGTTGACTGGTGTGATCCAAATCCAATTGTGAATGACTATTTGTGGACTGAAACCAAGCAACTTTATTGTAAGTTGCTAAATTTATCTACTTTAATTGCTTTTGAAAATGACTCACCGTCTTCTTCCTTCTTTTTTTTTTTTTTTTTTTTGTTCTTTTCTTTCTCTGGCCGAACTCTCCATGTCTTAGAAGAATTCCTCATTATTGTGGTCCATCTTTTGACTGCTTTTCATACTAATTTCCTTCTTTCATTTGCAGCAAACATGTGTGTCTTGTTAACTTTTTATGTTAATTTCCTTTATTGTTTTTTTGTTTGGATCCTTTTCTTCATTTTCATTTGCATTTGTAATGGTTGTTGTGTTTGATTTTCTTAGGGATGAACAACAAAAAAGGGAAGCAAGACTAAGAAGAAGATATATCATGGATCAGAAACGTCCATATAAATTGTCCAGTTTTGAGATGTCCTGTACTCCTTTGGAATCCAATCAAATATCATCAATTGCTAACCATGCTACCCATCCTTTAAATAGAGCAGCTTTAAGTGATATTTCGAATGGTCTGCAAAATAAACAATATAATCATCCTTCTTTACCCTCTATTGTTATATTCTTAATTTCTTTTATTCATTTACCATCTGTAGTGCTCAATTTAAATTCAAGTGGGACTTCAATTTCATGCTCTACCAACTTGCCTCCAATTAGAAAATCTATTTTTCATTCTGGGGTGGATATGAAAAAACAAGGTAACTTCTACCTATGGTTTTGAAAATAAACTCAATTTATATTTTTTTATAATTAATATTATCTTATTAACTCTCCACATCTTTTTTTTTTTCTCAGATTCCCTTAGACCTCTTCATCAACCTCTGAAGAGGAAGAAATTGGAGAATTCAAAAATGTAGGTCCATAATTCCATCTATGGTTCAAGCTTAAAGATGGAAACTTACAAATTTCTCTCACATTGTGCCTTTAAATCACCAAGCTCTTTGAATGTGAAGTATGACCCTTACTCTATATTATATGTATTATGAAATCTTAATTTCTTTTATTTAATTCTTGAGATGTTATGTATATATTAACTTTTTTTCAATGTATAAGTTGTCCTCCCTGTATTGGGACAACTTCTAAATCAATCACAAGTAATGATCATGGACCTCCAACTTCTCATAAGGGCTCAAATCAAATTCAAGGTTAGTTTTAATTTGGTTTTCTCCTAGGTGTTTATTTTTTTTAATATGACAACTTTTAATTATAATTGTACATACCTATACTTCAGATGGCATACATGGAATTAATGTAGATGAAAAGAAATTAGCCAGAATGAGGAGAAAGTCTATTTTGTTACAAAAGCAAGCCATCTCAAGTGTGTCTCCACGTACTCCTTCATTTGATGCTTTAAATGGTATTAGTTTAAAGTATTGATATTTTCTCTTAAATATGATACATTTGACATTATCTAACTGCATGTGTGTTTTATCCTTTTGGAATTCGTTGTAAAGTTTTAAACTAATGCTTTGACTTGAGTGTGACTCACAACTTTCCTCAATGTTTCCAGTTTCAAATATGATTGTTAGCAATTCCCTTGCATATTCATCTATTTGTATAAAGGAAAAATCTACCAGTCATTCTAAAAATATTTCATCACCCAACTTTTCTAATCCTACTAAGCATTTTCCTAATGAGACTCTGGAATGTAGTCATGTAATTTCCACTTATTCTTACAACGCTTCAGGACTAAGGTAATTTCTTATATAACCCATTTAGTTATTTTGTCCCATTTAGTTATTTTATAATTAGATGATCATATTATATCTAATCCATTAAAATAACAATCTTGCTAGAATTGGTAAACAAGTGTTTCAAAGCAGCCAAACTATCCAGTCTCTTTCATGGATTGGGTCAAACATATTTAACAAACAATAAATCAGGAAAGGAGAAATTTCACAATTCTTTGATGTTCAAGGTAAAATAGATTTTATTTTATTGTGTATTTTCTATTCTATTTTTTTATATAATACTAAACTCTATTATTGCCTAACATAGTTCCTATTTCATATAGGAATTCCTATTGAAGAAGGACCTTCAAATAATTCAAGCAGTAATCTTCATAGTGGTAATTTTCTATGTAAATTCATCTTGGCATAAAAGATTATTTGTTTGCTTTTGTTTGCTTTTGTTTGACTCTTTTTCTTTATTTACATTATATTTGTCTTGAGAAGAATATCAAGATGCTTTATTTCCAATATCTGAGGATGAAGGTATGGTTTCATTTTTGTTATATATTACATTTTCTTTTATATCACAAATTTAAAAAAAAATTATTTTATATATTTATTGTATTTAATTATACATTAATTGTTATATTGACAGAGGACGAAGTTGTTATTGAAAATGAATCGGAAATAGAACTTTCCAAAGGTAAGGTTCTTTGCTATTAATTCATGTATATTATGAGGTTTATTAACTCTCATTTTTAAGAACAATTTGAAACTTTTTTTCCTTTTATTTTTTTTAAACCTTCTGTGGATAGAGTATGGGGACATTGGAGAACCAACATATATTTGTAAACATTGTGGTGCAAATATGTGATATGATGAACGGAATAAGAAGGATCACAACCCAAATGATCCAGAATTTACTCTGTGCTATATGAGTGGCAAAGTTCAGTTGCCTCTTCTTAAGACAGATCCAAATCTTCTTCTCAATCTTTGTAGTAATGTAGACAATCGAAGCAAGCATTACCTGCACAATATTCGAGCATATAATATGATGTTCTCCTTTACATCTTGTCACGTCCCAAAACTCGAATTCGAGGCGCGACAGATGCCGTGCACTCGTGAGAAGGTCCCACAAATGCACAAGGCTCGGAACTTATCATACCACAATCTGATACCATCAAAATCTGAAGATCAAATTTTATAATTTGCTCTAATATCATAAATCTCCAATAAAGTCGAGTTTACAAGATCATGGTTTATATTTAAAATCTATATCAATCTCGAGATGGCTGGCTTTCTAACTCGTCACTTCCCGTGGTTTCCCCGTCCTCGGTTTCACTTCCTGAAATGGTGGACAAGGAAAAACTATGAGATAAACTCAGTAAATAAATATGGAATGCCCCTTATTAAACTTATAGCATGCCAACATGTGCAATCACGCAAAACGAATACAGTACGGGAACAAAATAGACGTCTCCTCTATAGGTCATGGCCAATGTATTAAACTTCCCACTGGCAGGCACACAATTTACTAGTGTATAATCCCCACTAGCAGGGTCACTTGTACGAACCGGTTTTATCACTAACATATCGACATGTGCCGACATGTGCTAGCGTTTAACCCCCACTAGCAGGGTTACAATAACATATCAACATGTGCCAACATGTGCTAGCGTTTATAAACTCCCCCACTAGCAGGGTCACTAATAACATGACCACATCGGAGACAAAACAGGCAGAAGTTAACAGAAAAATCATACTTTACCAATCACTTTCAAATCATCACTTCAAATCATCAGGACAATCAATTAAACTTTCAAGTAGGCAAGCTCAATTTAATGAAAAACATAAAATTTCACTTCAAATCAGTCATGCTTGTGTAAAACGGGTTTAGTCCCGCCACCACTTCAAAAACAAATCAAAACATGCTTTTAAAAATAGTCCGGGCATTATCATAAATTTACTTACCTCACTCGCATAAAACCGAGCACTCAATCTCAGTGCTAAACTTACAAAACGATCGAGAACCTAATCAAAATATCCCAAAATTAATACCATACTATCACAAATTCACACTGAAATCATCATTAGAATCATCCCCTAATCACGATGCTATTTCTATAAATCTCCACATTATCATATATCTCCAAATTCGTTCTTATATTACAAACTAATCATTTAAATCTCCGTTAATTGTTGACCCTCGGTATGTGAACAGTAATCTGTGAACAGTGCCGTGAACAGTAACTCCAACTTCCAGAAATTGCCCAAACCACTAACTAATTCACGGGATTTTTCTCCAAAAACCACACAGCAGTCAATTAGCACTCAATCACATAAATCCCACTTGAATTAAGCTAAATCATGGTCTAATTACTATCAATTTTCTCCCCTAGTTAATCCAGAATTTCGGACACAAAGGGCAGCAATTAAATGGCTAAAACTTGCACTTAGAGAAGCTGCCACATACCATAATTCTCTAGCTGTAGAAACCGGAGCTGCAGGGGGAGAGAAGCCGGCGGCAGTGCAGGGGGGAAGCTCACGGAAACTACCCAAAAATTGGAGAAACAAAGGGAATTAAAGTAAACCCAAGGCAATTCAAGCTAGAGAAGGGAGATTCATGGCTATTTCTCACCCAAAATCAGAGAAATTCGCCCCCACAAAGCAGGAGCAGCCGGCGGTGAGAAAGGAAGAACAGAGCAGATCTGGATTTTCCAGTAGGGGAAGAAGGATTTCAGGGCTCCAATCTTGCTCTTGAACAAGAAAAGAAGGCCAAAACCAAGCTTATCTCACCGATTTCTCAAAGGCATGGCTGGGTTCCCCTTTTCTTTTTTCCTCTCGGGTTGCAACGGGAAGACAAGAGCAGAAACGGGCTGGAGAAGAAAGAGGAAAAGGGAGAAAAGAAATAAGCCATCCTTATCCAAATTCTACTCTTTTAAGTCCCTCGAGTTTGGGAATGTTGGCTATTAAGCCCAAAACAATATTTCTTTCTCAATCAAGTCCCTAACTCACTTATTTATCCTAGAAAATTTTGGGGTATCACACATCTTTTGGAGGCAAGGTTGATACTTCAATAAATAAAGGTTCTAATCCTTCTATTTTTAGGGTTGGAGGACAAAATCATCATTATTTGGGCAGTCTTATTCCACTTCCAAATGAAAAGCCTAAATTTGCATAGTTGTACATATATGATATAGAGAATGAAATTGAAAATAGATTGAATTGTTTCAGGTATGTATAATACCTATACATTTAATTATTTTATTTATTTTTTCCTTTATTTTCAGTGTTTATTTATTAATAAGTAAATTATTAAGGATGATGATTCAATTGAAGAGGTTCTGAACAAAGCTGATTCTAAGAAGTCAATGTTTGAGGCTTGGATGGAAGCAAATAGGAAATATGGTGATGGAAGGAACTTGACTTATTCTGAATTTTCGACAAAGTTTGTTTATAATGAAGGCACATATGAGTGGACTAAGAGAAAAAAGGGCTTTGCTGTTGGACGAATAAATCATGTACCCCCCGGAGCTGGCGATGATTTGTATTTGAGAATTTTATTGAACTTCCAAAAGGGCTACAAATGTTATGAAGATATTAGAACAATTAATGGGGTAAAGTATCCTAACTTTAAAGATGCATGTTACTCTTTGGGGTTGTTGGATGATGACAAAGTGTATATTGATGCTACAAAAGAAGCAAATTTATGGGGGGATCTGCTTATTACCTTAGGCAACTTTTTGCATCTCTATTGTTTTCCAATAGTATGAGTAGACCTGACTTCATTTGGGAGAGCTGTTGGAAATTATTATCTGATGACATTCTTCATCATCAAAAAAAAGTCATTGACAGACAAGGTATGTCTTATATGTCCCCTTTTTTTTAAGTTATAAATATTTAGAAGGATTGATGGTCAAGAAGTGCAAATATGATTTTTTTTTCCTATGAAGTATAGGATGAACTCTTTATTTAGGTTGTTTTAGGGGACCTTTGAATTGTTGTGTTTTGTTTTTGTTTTGGCTTCTATAATATATATTTTTTTAATTTTGAATGGCTAAAAAATATTAATGAAATATGTTTGAATTTTTATTGACTGATGTGATCCAAATCCAGCTGTGAATGACTATACATGGACTAAAACCGGGCAACTTTATTGTAAGTTGCTGAATTTATTTACCTCAATTGCTTTTGAAAATGACTCACCATCTTCCCTTTTTTTTTTCTTTTTCTTTTTTTTTCCTTTTTT